AAGTACCTAAAGTGACCAATCACCACACTCGCTCTATTATCTTTATAGACACTACACAAGTACCTAAACTGACCAATCACCACACTCACTCTATTATCTTTATAGACACTACACAAGTACCTAAAGTGACCAATCACCACACTCGCTCTATTATCTTTATAGACACTACACAAGTACCTAAACTGACCAATCACCACACTCGCTCTATTATCTTTATAGACACTACACAAGTACCTAAAGTGACCAATCACCACACTCACTCTATTATCTTTATAGACACTACACAAGTACCTAAAGTGACTACAAAAAAGGCCTCAGTATAGAATTGAAATGTTGTCTCCTTTCTTTTGAACAGGCAGTTGCCAAACATAACAACCGTGTGTGTAAAGTGGCTACATATCAGAACCATCTGGTTCGGTGTACGTTGGAGATTATCTTTGTACTGTTTACTTTATCGGGAAACGATAACTCCTCCAGAACTTAGTCACACTAAAAGTGTAGTAAACAAGTTATAAATAAGCCAACTTCATCCCGAGGAGACGATGTTCATACTGACCTTATTCATCAACTTCGGGAAGCGAGTTCCTTAAAACTGTTGATATTTATTTTTTAGAGTTTAACATACTTTAGTCAGTTTTACCCAAGGACAGAACTATTTCTCTAAGTTGAGGATCCTTAGCCCAGTTAACTCCCGAACCAGCCACGCACAGTTGAAAGACATGGTTCAAAACAATGAGTGGTTCTTTCTGCTTCTCAATTCTTTCTTCTAGCCTGTGTAGAATTATTTTGATTATAACATTTGTGTATTAAAGTTAACATTTAATACTACACAATCAGTTTATTGTATTATCAGTCTGTTTTACCGTATAAAGATAAAACAAACTATTGGGAATAGTCTAGTACACTCTACGTATCTCAACATCTTACTACATCATCATCACCATCATTAGGATTGTAATATTTTGCATGAGTTAATACCTACGTATCTCAACATCTTACTACATCATCATCACCATCATTAGGATTGTAATATTTTGCATGAGTTAATACCTACGTATCTCAACATCTTACTACATCATCATCAGGATTGTAATATTTTGCATGAGTTAATACCTATGTATCTCAACATTACTACATCATCATCAGGATTGTAATATTTTGCATGAGTTAATACCTACGTATCTCAACATCTTACTACATCATCATCATCAGGATTGTAATATTTCGCATGAATTAATACCTACGTACAATTCAGCTTTAAGTATTTCACATCATCTATCAACAACATTCTCCTCCAGTCCTTTAAAGTTACGTTTTTTACATTTCATGGATATTATGACCATTGATGTTTGCAGGCTGTGATAAAATAAGTTCAGTTTCAGTAGCATGTTTAACTAAAGGCAGGATCTTTGTAACATTTATTTTGTGTTCTAAATTCTAAACCAAAAACAGTCCAACTATATATAACAAAAAAAAAAAAACGTGGCCAAGAAAAAAACAAAGACGGCAACCAAAAGATGTGAAATAAAAATCGGCGACAAAGCCGATGTTGTAATGCTGTTGATGACAACGAAAATTTTAATAATGACAATTTCAGGTGAACAATGTGTTACCATATTTCATCTTTGACTTAGGATTCTGTAACACGTGATTACTGAGAATGGTTTTCAGTAAATAAAAGTTTCAAATTTACCCTTATTTACTAAAACATTCAACAAACGTAAACAATCTCATATGTGAATTAAACAGAATTGTAATTAGCAAAATTAATTAAATTCTCTTTTACCATCCCACCACATCAAACACGTCATCAACATAGCTTAACTAAATTTCTAGTTTTTTTTCGATTTTCTTAATGCTTCAGTTTCAAAATTGTTCATGTATAAGTCACATAATAATGGAGAACATACAGCTAAACCGTTCGTTCTGTTTATAAACTCTACTGTTAGTTTGAAAAAAATGAATTTTTAACAAATGCTTCAATTAGTTTAATTATATCTAAAGCTGAGTTATCATTCATTTTTTAAAAATTTATTCTCAAAAGATACAATGGCTTTTTTCACGAGAAAAGTGTTGTTAATGGGTGACCCAAAATATTTTAAACTGTATGTAAATTTGATAATGTATTTAGGTTTTTAACTCGTACAAAATACTGCACTTCTGATGATGATATAGTAAAATTGTAACGTCTAGAGGGTACGAGACTGATCCGAATCACATAGTATTTAAACTTTATGTGGTAAAACTATCAGGTCAAACAATTTTGTATGATATTTTGACTTTATTTCTCTAATCCTATTTTTTTACTTGTCACAAAACTGCCATAATGTAGATTAAAATAAACTACTTACTCTTGTATTCTCCGCCCTTGAGTTATTTCCTCGTGCAGCTGTCTTTCCTTTTTCTTCTGTATAATAGCTTTTAGATGTTTCTTTCTTCTTGCAGTAAGTTCTAGGAATATTACTTAATTTGTAATTTGAATCTGAGAATATCAACAGAGAAGACAGGTGAAAAATGGGTTCTAATGTACACATGGGTTTTTAATAACTGGGAATATCAACAGATAATACAGGTGAAACATGGGTTCTAATATACACATGGGTCTTTAATAACAGAGAATATCAACAAAGACAGGTGAAACATGGGTTCTAATATACACATGGGTCTTTAATAACAGAGAAGACAGGTGAAACATGGGTTCTAATATACTCAGGGGTCTTTAATAACAGAGAAGACAGGTGAAAAATGGGTTCTAATGTACTCATGGGTCTTTAATAACTGAGAATATCAACAGAGAAGACAGGTGAAAAATGGGTTCTAATGTACACATGGGTTTTTAATAACTGGGAATATCAACAGAGAAGACAGGTGAAACATGGGTTCTAATATACTCATGGGTCTTTAATAACAGAGAATATCAACAGAGACAGGTGAAACATGGGTTCTAATGTACTCATGGGTCTTTAATAACAGAGAAGACAGGTGAAAAATGGGTTCTAATGTACTCATGGGTCTTTAATAACTGAGAATATCAACAGAGAAGACAGGTGAAACATGGGTTCTAATATACACATGGGTCTTTAATAACTGGGAATATCAACAGAGAAGTCAGGTGAAAAATGGGTTCTAATATACACATGGGTCTTTAATAACAGAGAATACCAACAGAGAAGACAGGTGAAAATGGGTTCTAATATACACATGGGTCTTTAATAACTGGGAATATCAACAGAGAAGTCAGGTGAAAAATGGGTTCTAATATACACATGGGTCTTTAATAACAGAGAATATCAACAGAGAAGATAGGTGAAACATGGGTTCTAATGTACTGATGGGTCTTTAATAACAGAGAATATCAACAGAGAAGATAGGTGAAACATGGGTTCTAATGTACTGATGGGTCTTTAATAACAGAGAATATCAACAAAGAAGACAGGTGAAACATGGGTTCTAATGCTTCCATACACTAAGACAGTTTAAAACCCAGCTTGAGTTGTAACTCATTTGGTCAATTACACAACACAAGATTTTAAACTAAGAACTTAAAAGACTTAACATCAAGGAAGATAGTCGCTAGTGTGAACAATAATTTTATTTTACAACCCATGATTTATTTAAAACTAGAAGGAAAAATATAACAAATATATCAGTGGAGTAAATGGGTGTTAAAATATCTATTGTCTGTATATTTACAGTATACATACTTGTAACAGAATCTAAACTGTAGATGTGTTGACGATACTTTAAGTTGTAAACACAGAATGTGCTTGCTCCAGCAGATAAGCACACTGAGTGTGCATTTTTATATATACAAATTTCAAACTTTAGATGCCAAATTTTTCTGATACAGTGTCCCCTGGTGGCCAATACAAGCAAGTAATTTACCAGTTAAAGTTTTTTTTTAAAAATAAAAAATGTGAATCTACTGTTTGTATTATTTAAATGTCAAATTGATGGATTTGCTTCAGTCTGTATGATGAATACAGCAACATTAATGTGTATACTACAGAGTACATAGATACTTCTTTGTCAGGGTACAATTAAAGCTAGCTGATCTGTTTAACTCTTTCAGCATGGGCTCGGTCCCCAGGGACCGACCTCGTAACAGTTTTGTGCTCGTTATAGTTTCATGCTATAACTTTTAAATTAGTAAGCGAACGTTCACAAAATTTGGCAGATCATCAGTAAACATCACAAGGCTTTTGTACGCAAAGTATAACATTTTTTTTTTTTTATATTAAGTCTTAAGGTTTTTTAAGTTTAATGTTCTTCTC